GGGGGGTCGACCCCCCCTGACTCCATTGTTAACTTCCGTAACTTAGTGACATCACTGCGTAAAACCCGCACTTCTATTGGCTAGCGCACCAACACACTGTACGTGAGGCTAAGGGGCGGGACATTTCTAAGCAGTTGACCAATCACAACAGAGCCGGCCATCCAACCTGAAGCGCAGGCAGTATGAGACAAATAAAGCACTTTTTGAACATTAAAGCATTTCAACATATCACAATAGAGACACTAAATACAAATCAGATGTGAAATGTCCTCTTTAAGAAAAGGCATGGTACTTTCTGTAAACACAAACATAAAGACGTTTTTTCCTACAGAAGTTAACGACTAAGCCCGGCAGCTGAAATCCATCACTGTCCTCGCATAAAATCAAATCCAGGCCAGGATTTTCCCCTTTTCCTGTGCATAAAATAATGATGAATACAATCCCTGCCACATTGTTCGGGGAGTTGTGAATAATAAAAAATAGTGCTGTATGGAGCATATTACTCTGCTCTTTTCCTACGCTGGAACAGGTTTCCACGAAACACACTGATTAATAATACATGTCCAATACTTGCTCAACTCCTTCAGGATCAGCTATTATCCTGTCGTACTTTTCAGCTTTGACTTCATTCTGCTGCAGCGTCCCTTCACCTCGTGTCAGCGCTCTCTTGAGAAGAAGGGTGTTTGCAATGTCATGATTGTGAAGGAAAAGATTTTCTAAAAGCTTTTGAGCCCTTGTAGTTTGGAAATATGACCAGAAGCTACGTTAAATAATGATGAGGGGTACTGGGATCAATAGGTACAAGTAATATAAAATGGTGTATTCTTAATGACTGGGTTAATCTCTTCATGTTTGCTAAGAATATAATTAAAAGTCTCAGTTTCCTCAGGCTGTAATTCCTTTAAAGAAGCATTGATTTCCCAAACTTCATTAGCTCTTAATGCTCTCTTTCCTCCTTCATTTGTACTGAAATGGAATAAAACCACTTATCACTGTAGCTCCTACCACTCTTTTATTTTCTGTTTTCTGTTTCTTAAAGCCTAATTCAATTATTCCTCCATTTTGGACATACTGTATATTAATGAATGTAAGTTAATTAAAATGCAGATATTAAAGGTGGGGTATATCATTTATTTCAGAAACACTTTTTGTTATATTCAATGGAATGCATCCTGATAGAAATGAATATATTAAATACTTTGACAATAAATACATAAAAAAAATCATCTGTGGAAGCCGTAGTACTGTAAAAAGCACCACCAATAATTTTAGCCGGCCCGGCTAAAATAACTGGATGGCCTACCTGCCTGTCAGCCTTCCATCTGTGCACAAACTTATCTCGTGCCCTCATTGGTCATGTGCGCGTTCGTGTGTGTTGGAGGAGGGGCTCTGTGAGGAAGTCTGAAGGAAGTGGCAGATTTTTTCCGGTTGTGTATTTTCAAATTCTAGCGCACTCGAGCTGGTTTCTCCAAAATTACACACCCCACCTTTAAGGATGAAAAAGTATTTTTATTGAAGTTGCTGTGAATTAAAGAAAAAGCTGAATGCCTGAAATGTAAATTAAACTAAATATAATTGCCCACATAATCGAAAGCACTTTTCCTTTAAAGCTTCAATTTGGGACCTTTTTGAGCATATCAATTATTGATGGTTTGAAAATGATTTTTTGTCGAGTAAGCCTTTTAGAAGAAGAGCCTTGTTTAACCTTGTAGTAGCTTCAGCTTTTAGACTCAGATTTACAGGGCAGTCATTATGGGCCTTAGCCATCGTTAAGTCTGCAGTCAATCTCGCTGACGTGAATTTAAAGCTTATGTAGCTTACTGATCATCCGTCAAACTATTAAAATAGAACGTCCTGTTTCCTAAACGTGTCATGTTAAATGTGTGGGGCAAAAGAGGTTGAGTCATAGAGAAACAATTGTGCATGTAACTAACCAGAGCTAAGAAAACGAACACAGTTTTCTGATATCAGAAAGACAATCATTTTCAAGTTTAACTGAAGTGGGAAAAGCCAACTGTAAAAAAAAAAAAGAAGGCCAAATTCCAAACCGACCCCCACACACTCCTACTCCGTGAAGCAGTGAACTTGTAGTCTCACTCTCCGCTGAATGAGGCTTCTTCTTTAAGGTGAAGGTTGTAAATACAGTGGCACGTTTTGGGACAAACTCCCCTCTCTCCAGCAGGAACAGGATCACAGTTTGAACTTTTCCTAACAATGGTTTCAAATCATCATCTCTCAGACAACAAATATTAAATAATAATGATAATAAAACCCCCAAAAACTTTAGTGACATTTCTTTTTTTGTAAGTTTCTTTTTGTTTCCAGATCTGATGTTTATTACCTGGTTGGCTTTACAGCAGTCCCTATAAATATGAAGTACCGTTTAGACTAGACACGGATATACTGTATATCACGTGAAAATAAGTTATAATAAATACAATTTAATGTAGCTTTCAAGTTAACATCAACATGACAATATTACACTTCTTTAACTTTGCGCAGTTTATTAGCAAATGTTTCCATGACGGACACAAACACGTTGCAACTGGTGAGATGGTGGTTAGTCAGGACCGATGCAGAGTCGCCATTGGAGGGCTCCATAACCCACTCCCAGTCCCCACTGATTGGTTTGGAACAGCACTTAATTAGTGGACCCTCTGTGGGTAGGGGTCTGTTTGGAATTGGGCCTAAATCTCATTCACATCTGATTGGTCGGCGTCAAAAGGTAAGCAGTAAACGTGGTCAAAAATGAAATAACTTAAACTTTAAGGGCAGAGCTTGGCAAACATGTTGGGCGATGTGCGATGCCGAAGGTAGCTTCCTCCATAGAAACACAGTGGCAACGCCAGCGGAGAGACGTTTTTACCGATAAAAATTGTTTAATGTCTGATTTGTGTCAGAATTGTACCTATAATTGAAAGAAGTTTGTAATATTCACAACTCCTGTAAACAGTAACTCTTGTGTTGTCTAACGCTAAATTAAAGGGACAGTAACCTTTATCCTTGGGAGTGTATAATATCTAGAAAGGAAAGCAGACGTACTGTTGCCGCAACCTTGTCATGGTGGATATAATATGACAGATTATGCCTTTTCACAGAGGTTTATTACAGAAGAAATAATACAATTACAAAGTTTTAAGCATCACAAATCAGCTGGTTTAAACAGGTTGTGGTATTAAGGAGTAGTCTTGGCTGTTGTCCTTTCTATTTACAACTTGTGATACAAAAAAAGAGAACTTTGCTCAGGAACAGTTGTAAAAAAGCAATATGACCTTAAATGCACTAGAAATGTATGAAAGCACGTTTCTCAATCATAACGATGGCGAACGTACAACAGACAGAGTGATGTGTGGGAGAGTCTGTTTTCCTCGGGCCATTCACTCTGTCTTCCAGTCTCATACCTTTAATTATGAATGTTACATCGACACGTTGCATACTGAATGAAAGATGGGTTATGAGTTACAGAAATATAACTTGTTCAGCAAGAGACAAGGATATTAAATTAATTAAAGGAGTGAACTTTGAAATGCTATAATAACAAAGAGTCTGAATATGCAGGAACCAGAGATAGTGTTTGTTAGACTATAGAGAAATTGAGTGTGTATTGTCCAAAACTGTCTCTAATCATTAAAGATAAGAAATGACAAGCATTGTTTTGAGCTTTTACAGCATTATTTCCTAACTGATGCTGTCATATTTGCTCATTAATCAACGTTTTCTTCAATATCAGCATCAGAGACAATTTATGCAGACCTGCGGTCTTGTTTTCAATGCTTTTGAAGGCTTTATGCTTTAGTGCATTTGATGTATTAAGATTGCTGTTTTGTTTGTGTTAATTAGCCTCATTTTGTTCTCTTCTGTTGTTTTTCATCTTTTTAGTTTTCACCTTTAATTTGATAAGAAGCATATTTTCCTGTTATCCTCCAGTATATAAAGTCTGAATTCAATTATTTTCCTCATTTCCCAAAAACTAAATCTGTCTGCTTTTAATTGCTAAATGCATGGGCAGGTACAGCAAGGCTGCCAGAGTCCCTCTCCTAGAGTCACTTAGCACAATTACTTGAATATTGAACTTGAAGTTTTGTAGAGAAAAAAATCAATAGCGGTTTAAATGCAAAAAGTGACACAGTGTGTGATCCTTCTCTTTTAGGGGAACAATGGAGGCGCGCTTTGTGTACGTCTTCATCTTGGGAATCCTCTTCACGGGCACCAAAGACCTGCTGCGGTCCCAGATCATCACATCAGATGCCAGGTTGAAGAGCAGGGGATTATGGGAGATTTACAGTGGCCTGGTCTTGTTGGTGACGCTGTTGTTTCGTGCTCACAACCTGCCGGTCCTCTGCTGCTGCCTGTTGATCCAGACGCTCATGGCCCAGTTCATCTGGAAGAAACTCCACTACGACGCGGCACAAACTACCATCATGCACTACTGGTTTGGACAGGCCTTCTTTTACTTTCAGGTGAGCAACCTTAATGATGTCAGTGATAGCAGAGCTTAACCGCCTGTTTGTGGGCGGTGTATCAAGTCAAACAAACTCCATATGTATATAAATCGGGATAACTGCGTCAAAATCTTATTTTATTTTTATCAAAAGCAGTATTTCCCCACAAATTACTTATTTACAGTATACTGTATACTTTCTAATAGTGGGTGAGAAACTACCCCCGCCAACACACACACATTACCCACTTTACTTTATCGCTTGTTTTGGTATATCTTTGCTCTCATTACCTTTATCATGGAGGTAATGTTTTTGGCTTGGTTTGTCCGTTTGTTTGTCTGTTAATCAGCTGGATTACAAAAAAGATACTACTGACCTATCTACGCTGGAGGGGTTTAGCATGTGCCCAAAAAATTATATTTAATTTAATATATAATATTTTAGTTTAGTTATCGAGAGATGGTGCATTGGTTCTGCATACATGTGATGTCGCAATATTTAGCAAAATGAGCGCATAATCCCCCTCAAACTAAACATCTAAGTGGAAATAGCCAGCAAAGTCCAGACCAGTAAAATGTTCGCTGCAGTAAATCTTAAAACTACTGTTCCCCTTAAAAATCAATCACCCAACCATTAACAGTGTACAAACTACAACCACTTCACAAAGTGTGATACCTATTTGTGCTGACTTCATAAGTGCAGAAATGTGAAGATGTTAATCAGAGCCCAAATGACCTGTATTTACAAAAGAGAGTTCAGGGGACAACAAATCAGTAAGTAGGTTTTTTTTAGTCTGATTGTAAGAGACATCTAATTTAGCTCTCTGACACAGAGTGTAGCAACATTTAGAGAAGCTATCGCGACTGATAAAGTGTTGGAAACAGCATTAGGTGCAGTTCGGGGCAGTGAAAGTGCTTCTGTGTAAATTATATTACTTTCACGCAGCACTGGGATGACAGCCAGCTGGACTAATTGTTTCGTGTGAAAACGTAACATGAGCAATGATTTCCTTAAAGGCAGATATGGTACCTGTCTTTTTAACCTCACCAATATTTGGTTATCAGATCTGTATTTCTGTCAACAATGACCTTCCAAATTGCTAACATTTTAATAACACTCATCACCTCTTGGGTAATTAATACTGTGATGGGCTCGGGAGTAGAATGCCACCAGACAATTTTCAGCCCGGCGCCCAGGCATGTAATTACAGACCTTTGAGTAATAACGGAGCTGTAACCATAATGGATCTGTAAAGCTGCCACATGTGATTAAAATGTGCAGCTCCCAAAGAAAAACTGGTGTCATGTAGAACAATCAAATTATGTTGAATAATAACACAGCAATTAGAACTGATCACTGAGCTCCTGTTCCTAATTTATCAACGCAGTAGGAAATTAGAAGAGTCAAACATAAGGTGTCAAGGGAGGAATAGCTTTTTTACTAAAACTGCAAAGAATAAACAACTCTGCTACAATCATTCAAACCAAAACAAGCTCAGTCATTATCAGTAAGCTTTGGTTTATTTCAGTTTGAATCAGCTGTCCTACTCGGTTGGTGGGATTTCCGCTAACTGGTTTAGCTAGCTGAGCAGCACCTCTCGCTCGTTCTAAAGCTCACTGGTTGTTAGCTCATGAAAACGGAACTTTTCAAACATCGCTGTTGTTCCTTTTTTACGTTTGTACTTGTTTGTGTTTTCTTTTGTTAACAATGCTAATATCTTTTTTTTTATATATAAGGTGGTTTTCATTGCTGCCAGGGCCGGCCCTGACCAATTTGCTGCCCTAGGCAAGGGCACCCCCCCCCAAAAAAATGCAGACACTCACCATGACTCGCGCATGCATGCACGATTGTGGCATGACCACCAAAACAGAAAGATATGGACACAAGATGTGTGCAAATGTATTTAGTATCCTATCCATTTGAACTTGATTTAAGTTTAAGATTTTTTTATATTGAAGTTAAAAGCATCAATCTGGTGCACTTTGAGAGCAAAATCAAGAGATCTATGGATACATCTCTCAACACCCATATGAAACAGAACTGTAAGCAGATTTTCTTTTTATTTATGGATATCTTACAGATCACTCCCCTTTCAAACTGTATTCTTGTTTATTAATAACAACTTGTTTTGACTGTCATATAGTATTTTATACTATAAGAGAATAGATGAAAATCTATTAAAACCTATAATTGCACACTAAAACCATTATTTCAAAAAAAGAACTATTTCACATAAACCTCTGGTTTTTACTGGGGCGGTTCAACTTGATTTTTGGGGGGGGGGTGCGCCATAGTTTATGGGCGCTGTACGCAATATAGGCGTAGTTCTGTTAGTATAACATAATAAGGTGCACTTTGTTGATCCAAAATCGGGAAATTGTGTTGTTATGAAATTAAAAAAAATTGTTTTTACATTTCTAACTTTTTTTTAAAATGTTCGGCGCCCCCCATTGATTGATGCGCCCTTAGCATTCGCCTATACTGCCTATGCCAAGGGCCGGCCCTGATTGCTGCAAAGAGTGGTGCAGGAATAAATCCTAAATCCAAATTTGAGTTAGCATTTCACCACTTCTTGTCTCGAAATCAACAGTTTTTAATGTGTTTTAAGTTAGATGCCTGAAATATGGTCTTTGGTAAACAAAAATTTAAAAAATGTTCTGTGACCACAAAAGTCAGTAAATACCCCACTGGTGAATGTCAAGAGGTTCTCTGTGTCTTCAACGGCCATGCCTAAGAAGTGTCTAAATGACGCTGATAAACCCCATCATGCCCAACCCAACATTATCTACCTTTTATTGAAGAATTGTTGATGTAAAGTCATGCGACCGCCATTTCGTTTGTTTATAGCCTAATGTTAGCTTTTTACTTCTGGCGGATGCATTCACGCTTCAAAAAGCATAAAATTGGTGTTAACATGAGAAAAATAATCAAGCTGAAGAAAACACGTAGGTATCATAAACATGTGTTTTCGACAGATCTTATTTTCTGCAATAATCCAAAATCCAATGGAAGAATCCCATTACTTATCATTGAGGGAACCCTGGCGATGTTAACTTCCAGGTCAGCCCCTTTGTAAATACGTCATCACTGCATCACTCTTTTCACTCCTGTTTTTCAACTATTAACTATTTTTAGAACTCTGAAAAAGTTCCCTTGTCTGAAAACGGCTTTAGTTGCTTTTGCTGCTGTGTTTTATTAAATATTGGCAGAGAGCCTTGTCTGGCAGCCAAAAACAAAAAAGCACAACAAGACTTTGGGAAATATTCCAAGTAGCCTCAGATGTAGACACCAAACAAAGTTGAACGGTCTCACCGTAGAAGTTTTGCCCGTCTGCATTGAGCTGTCGTGATCAAATCAAGTAGTGGATGCGTCAGATCTGGCTGTGGATTGTCCGTGAATACGTCCCCGTCCCAAAACCAGATGGTCAGTAAAGCAGAAAGGAGGTGTTTATCCTTCACCAATGACTTTGTGTTGCCACATGAGTAAGCACAAGTCGCATCGTGGTTATGAAATCAGAAACAACTGAGCAACCGTCTGTATCAAATATGAATCATCACAAAGATGTCTTTAAAGCTCCAAATCAAACCTGATCTTCCAGATTCCAAATTCAAATCAATGAGGACATTTCTGGCAAGTCATTTTTAAGGTTAATGAACATGACTTTTAAATAATCACTTCAGTCTGAATCTCAATAATACAACTTTTCAGGCAGTACTGCTTTTCCACCAGTGTCATATTTGTATATATTAACGATCAAAGCAGGATGTTAGCAAGAAAGCTGGTAGAAAATGTCCATATGCAGCCCAACCTGCTCTCTGATATTCACTGTTTGTAGAAAATGAAACCAGCTGTTAAGATATCTTCCTGTGTGATCAAAGTGTTGTGCACAGAAGGAAAATAAAGAACTATTTGAAGTGTTGCTGCTCATGGATCATCACTGCTTTCCAAATGAACAAGAAAGACGTCCTTGATCTCCACTGATTCCCAGTTTTTTCTCCCTGTAAATATCCCTGCACGCAGTGGATTTTAGATGTAATTACCACCTGTTACGCACATGGAAATTGAATTTGCTAAGTATAAAACACTGTCAAAATGATATACTGTAAATGAACCAATTTGAATTTTCTCAACCATGACAGTGTTTTTCACAGCTGCTGCTCTGCGGCTCAGGTTGACGGATCTGTCTGAACAGAACGTGTTTGATTTCAATAACCTGAATTCACACACTCTCTCCCTTAATACTGAAAATATTTCTCTACTTAACGAATTTCATCTTATATCAAAGAAGCATCTCAACAAGCCTCAATCATCCAATCAGAGGACTTTCAGAGATTGATTAGGGACCACTCTGTAAGGACAGTATGTATTAGCAGAAAATAGCATTCAAAGATAAGGAAAATACACTGAATACAGTAATACCAGTACATTATTAAGGGGTACATAATATGAAAAACTCTCTGTTTTAGTGCTTGTGTGAATATATTTGAGGTACCTTGAGTGCCTATACCAACCCACAAACGTTAAAATAAGAAAACTTAGTCGTTCTTTGTTTGACTGTTTAAGTCAGAAAACATGGGATTCAACATGTTTCAAGTCACATGTTGGCTCATAAGAATGCCCCCATAGAGTTGGAGGCGGGTCATCGTTCATTCCTTTAAAGTTGCTCAGTGGCACAAAGGTAAAAAAAGTGCATTTAATAGCCAACACACTGATGCACCATGGACCCTACACTGTCACCAAACATTCATTAACGAGTCAAAATTGAAGGAAAATGTATGGATATACATAATATGGAGAAAAAAAATCAACTTTAGACTTTTAGATATTTACCCTTATTAGTGTTTATAAATCAGATCAAGGCTGTGCATTTAACATAGTTCACACAGTTGCCTATTCAGTGAATACATATACATGAAATATATATAATTTAAACATTAAAATAAGCATTATCAATGCTAGCGATACAAAATAGCAGAGAACCAATGGACCTAATCAATGAAAAATGTAAATCAACCTGAATGCTCCAACTAAAGTCAGATCAAATGTAAAAATGAAATACTTTGTCTGTCTGTCCATTGATAAAAGGCTGAAAATAATTTCCAGGGATAACTAGGTTCAGTCATTATTTTTTACTCTATTAAAAGAGTCTGTCCTGTGAAATTGAAGGAAAAAAATGCTAACTTTATGATCTGCAGTAGCCAAATACTGACTACTACCACTTTATATATTTGATTAAAATGAATCTCTTAGATGCTGGTTGAGCCTCAGATAAAACAAGCTCATAATAACAATTCTTAATTATTCAAGGTTATGAAATGTTTCTTTATCTCCTAAATGTTATTACATTTGAGCAAAGGCATATTTTCCTGATCTAAATATAACTGACATTAGCACAACCAAATACCCTTTATATTGTGGCTATAAATCCTGCAGCAATTTCTAAAGCTTCCGATGAAACTCCTGAACTGTAATAAATAACACACGGTTAGAAAAGTTGGATATTCAGTTTACTTCAGGCATATTTGGCTCGTTCAAGGGATACTGGAAATTGTTGAGAAAGTTAAATACGCCAGAAATTGTTGGGTCTTTAAAAACCAAAGCGTGTGTGCCCACCTCCACAGTAACCTGAGCCGGCTCCAGAGAGCAGAGTCGGCTCCGGTCAGAGACTGGAAAGACAAACTGGGCCGCTGGGAAGAGGCCAGCCGCTGAGCGTAATGATGACAAAGGGCTGCTTCTTCAGAGTGCTAAAATGCTTACAAAGCTTCACCCACAGATCATTGTGTGCTCCTTTTTCTCTCCATATACAGATGCTAAAATTAGACCTCTCTTTTCTCCTGCAGGGCAATTCGAACAACATCGCCACCGTTGACATTTCAGTGGGCTTCGTTGGACTGGAAAGTTACGTAGAAGCACCGGCCATCTTCTTAACGGCCCTCAGCACTTATGCGGGGCCCCTGCTCTGGGCGTGCCACCTGGTCTGCTTCCTCAGCTCACAGAGAGACAGGTGAGGCTCAGTTATGACTTACTCATTAACTCAACACAAAACAACTTTCATTTATATTGATTTGATTATAATCACTATGAACCTTTCAACATAATCATGAATGTTGGCTATCCTGGCTCAAATGGTGAAACCGAGCTCCCCATTGATATCCAGACAGAAAAGCAGTCTACACATTTTCCGACGCAGATGCAGTATAGGAACCAACCTGTTCCTATACTGCATCTTGGCCCAAAAAGAAAATCTCACCTTTGTTTGTAGAACTTTAAAAATGATTGCTTAATCCAGTAGCACTTACAATAGTTTAACTATAGAAAGCTTATTTAACTCCAGGATTGTTGGGACCTTTGTTTATATTTGTGGAAATTGTGGTTAGGGCCACGAGGGATGTCTTTACTGCTTAGCTACGTCCCTGTGAGAAGGAGGCTGGCAGCCAAATAACAGCGTAAATTGTAATTCTGCTTATATTAGCAATTTACAATAACCAGATAGCTGCCTATCAACCAGTCAGCTGTAGGATTACGTTTAAATAGTTAGCTACAAGTTAGAAATGATTTAAACTTTCAACTACTGCCAATCGCTCCTTCAGATTTGTGAAAACATTATTGTAACAATTAACACTTTAGTGTCATAAATACTATCGTTTTTAAAGGGGCTCTATTATGCTTTATGGGGTGTTCCCTTTCCTGTAGTGTGTTATATAGATTATTGTGCATGTAAATGGTCTGCAAAGGCTAAAATCCCAAAGTTCTCTCCCACCCGTTCCTCCCAATGCCTGAAACACCTCCATTGGACTCCTTTGTTTACTTCTGTTTCATAATGACATCACCATGTAACACGTGTTTTTATTGGCTAGCACTCCAACACATTGTACGTGATAGGCTAAGGGGCGGGGCATTTTATGAACCACTGTTCACCACTTTCCACTCTTTTTACTTTGGTTTCCACCATCTGCACCAACACAACATCACTGTTCCAGTTATTTCTGAGTGTTGGTTGTTTCTATTTTAAAAACCTATTTTTGAAGCGAACCCTCTCTGTGGGGCGGAGCTGGTGCGTTGAGATATCCTGTTAAAGGAATCTTGCTCACAGGGTATCAAAGATGCGTGTAAACAGCTTAACCTGCATAAGACCTTAACTGGAGAGAGGCCATTATCTGGGGTGCTGTACGTGTGAGAAACATCCAACAACTACAGCTCGCCCTCAGCATGACGCCGCGGCACACAGCTGAGTGATGAGATCTGTGTCCGGGCAACAGCTGCCCTGCTGGTGGAGCCAACAGTTAAATGCTGAATTTAATGTAAAAAGAGTTTAACTTCCTCTGTTGGGTAAATGACAGAAACTGGTGATTAAAAAGTCACTACTTTATGCAAAACATTTCTTAATTTTGTTCCAAGAAAGGTCTCCAGAAATGAGACTGCAGAGGCTGTATACCCATGCATGATCTGTATTCTTAATAATCTTTGATGCCACATTTTAATATGATGTGTTTAACATTTCAGTAGCTCTTCCAGTGCCTGATTACAAAGTTCTACCCATCTGAACGTTTTTGTGGCGCTCGCAGCAGAGCCTAGAGATTTTAGCTTTGATTTGATTCGTCTATCCAGCACTTGGACGTTAGAGTTGATGTGGACCTTTCATTTAGTACTACAATGAGGTAGAGCATTCCCGGTGACCAACAGTTTGATCCATGACAAAACATTGTCAAAAAGAAAATCAGTTGCCATGCTCCCAAGACCTCCATCATCTCTCCTGTAGACCCACAGTAGAGGGGTTACAAATGAAAAGCACAGCTGAGATTAAAGCTACTCCTCAGGGAGCTCCAGAAAGGTATGGCCTTTATTTTCTACTAGAAGAAGAAAACCTCCTCAGAGAAGCATGACAGCACCTCATATACAGTAGCAAAGAAATCACTTTACAGTAAACAACACCACCACAGAGTTCAGATAGGAGGGAGGACAAATGTTACATCGGAAAAAACAAATGTCTATTTGTTCCAAGTGACATCTTCAAATGATTTGTCTGATCAAAGTCCACAAACTTAATTTATTCAATTTACAATGAAGAAAAAAAATAAGCAATCCTCATAAAAACATTCAAATTAGTTTGGCTTATTTGGTGTTCTTTCATGTAATGCTTCTGCATTGATCTAATTGATTCAGTGTATCACTCTGTTGAATTCACACAGTCCTATACACACATGCATAGGAATCAGAGGAGGGAGAAGTACTCAGATCTTGTACCAAGTACCAAAGTGTAGGAATACTCTATTACAAGTAAAAGTCATGCACTAGTACTAAAGTATCAGCATCAAAATGTACTTAAAGTACCAAAAATAAAAGTACTCATTATGCAGATTGGTCCATTTCAGAATAATATATCTGATATGTTTTATAATGATTGATCATGAAAGTGTTCTCAAAGCTGGTAAAGGTGCAGCTAGTTTGAATGACTTTGTATACTGCAGGGTAGCTTGTGGATTTACTCCAGGTGGAACTAAAGTCTGATTTGACACTTGATTATATTTCACATCATTCATCCACATCTGTAAAGTAACTAAAGTAGTGGAGTAGAAGTACACCATGTACCTCTGAACTGTAGTGGAGTAGAAGTAGAAAGTAGTATAAAATGGAGAAAGTAAAGTACAAGTATCTCAAAATGGTGCTTAAGTACAGTACTTGAGTTAATCTACTTAGTTACTTCCCACCTCTGATAGGAATATAGATATGCACAAATTCTTTCACCATTGAAAAAGAAACCCGGATAAAACAATGCAACCACACCTACATTTGTTATATAGCTGACCTGGAAACAGTTTCAGCAACATATGCAGTGTAATCCATAACTTTAGATCTTCAAAATGTATTTCTTGATGTACAACAACAAGGAAAATGTTCCTAGTTGAGTATCTAAAGATTAAATAACAAATAATGATGACACTCGGATCCACAGACGTGGTGACAGATGAAACTGTAAGACCGTCTGGTGCTCAGGAGCTCATTAAGAATTCACTGTGCGCCATCAGCAGCTCGACCACAAGGCGAGTGCTGGGAGTGGACTTTGATCGATAGCTTTCCGACGGGCTCCCTCCACACACTCAAACTCTACTTAAGGCAAAGAGAATGTTTCTTCATTGTTTTTACTGCACTGTAAACCTTCAAAACTGACCGATCAGAGGAGACCCGTAAACACCACTTTACCTAATTACCATCAGGAAAACCTTCTTCAAAGTGTCGCATATTCTGACGTAAACACAAACGACAAATACAGTTTCTATTTTAGCCTTGATTTCCAAGACACTCTTTGAGATTACCTTGGAGACAGACAGTGATTTTCAAGGCTTCCTGCTTCTTTGTGAGCTCAAAATGGAAATGCATTCCTGAAATAAAATGTACACCTGTAGCCTTTCATCAAAATCTTATTTCAGTGTTTTTCGTGGAGGATTTCCAGGGACCATTTATCCTTCAATTTGCTCTTCTAACACTGTGTTCTTTTGCCCATGTCCGACGGCAGAACAATTCAGTTCTCTACAGAACTTTCTACAGTTTGATCATTTTGTGAAATTATTTCTAAAAATGTCTTCAAGCTAAAGAGTCTTTATCAACTCATTCCTTTCCAAACTTGTGAATTAGAGAATGTGTCACCACTTTCTCCACTGAGAGAATAAGATCATAAGAGGTTGCACATTCAATATTTAAGTAGCTCTTTGAGGTAGAACACAGAAATAAACTTACATTTTAAAAACAGCCGCTCTGTGGAACTAACCATTAGTTTAAGAGCTTACCCTTTAGGCTGTTCATGGACAATGCTGGTATTAGTTCTTAAGTATCAAGTTTGAAAGTCTTTTATAGGTGAATTTGGTAATAACCACACTTGAGTAAAATGTAATTTGTTACTTTCCACTACTTCATATACCTACATACTGTACAGGGCTAAGTATATAAAGTGTGGGTTTTCCTTTGAGGACATATTATTCTCATTTTCAGGTTCATATTTGTATTTTCTGTCTCTACTGTGACATGTCTCCCTGCTTTAATGTTCAAAAAGCTCTTTGTGTTTCTCATACTGCCTGTGCTGCAGCACCTCTTTTCACCCTCTGTTTGAAACCAGAGCCCGGTCTGCTCTGATTGGTTAGCCGGCTCTGTTGTGATTGGTCAACCGCTTAGAGATGTCCCGCCCCTTAGCCTCACGTACAACGTTTTGGAGCGCTACCCAATAGACGTGCGTGTGTTACACAGTGATGTCACTATGTTATGAAAGAAAACAAAGGAGTCCAATGGAGGCGTTTCAGTCGGGGGGGGAGAGAGTGTGTGGGAGAGAAGCTTTGGGATTTTAGCCTTTGCAGACCATGCATAAAAACCTATATAACAAACTACAGGAAAGGGAAATACCCTAAAAGCACAATAGGGGCGCTTGAAGAGAGACTGTTGGCACACAGATGTAGTTTTATGGGTTAGTAATATTGTTTATTCGATTAATATCGACTCATTTCCCCCCCTCCCTAAGACTAGATTGTTTTTCCTGTCTGCCACAGAATTGAATTATTGTATTCAGCTCATTATTGTGTGTGTGTGTGTGTGTGTGTGTGTGTGTGTGTGTGTGTGTGTGTGTGTGTGTGTGTGATATAACTGGCCCTGCGATTGAATTTCCACCTCCAACCTGGACTCCTTCCCATGTCTCCTACTCCTCTTGTCTCTGTCCGCTCCTCCCCCTCAGATGGGACTGCTGCATGTTTCAACTCACAACCTCCCCGTGCTTAGCTAAACGCTGTGTTTCAGTCTTTGTATCTCCGCGTGTTTGGTTTTACATCATCCTCTCCTAATCTCCTTTCTCCCACCCCCCATCCCATCATGCAGGTTTTAAGTCATTAACTTCTCTATCTGAATTTGCCAGCAATCCGTATTATTGAGAGATGATGATTGGATTGAACTCTTCTCCCTGGTACTTGCGTAAGGGGGAAATGTGCTGTGAATCGTCAAACAATCTGCAGCTTTACCGATCATAAGAAAAAAACGTAAAGCAGATTAGAGTGACCTTGGTTCACGTAAAGTTTTGAGGAAGTTATTCACTGAGTGTCCTGCTTTGCCTCCTCTCTGATGACTCCTCTTCCCCTGCAGGAGCCCGGTTGCAGTCGGCCATGGCTGCTACTGTCTGGCCCTGCTGAGGTCTGTGCCCGCTGCGGCCTACATCGTGCTGGTGACCACTCTGCGCTACCATCTCTTCATATGGAGCGTCTTTTCACCCAAATTACTGTACGAGGCCATGCACCTGCTGCTGACTGCGGGGGTCTGCCTCTTCTTCAACACCATGGAGCAGAGCCACACTGCCAGTAAGTCTTAGGGGGCCAAACACGCAGTCCTTCCATTACGGGGAGTCAAAAAGTCGTGAAATAGTCTCTCTATTCTACATGTAAGACTTTCAGACTGATACACTACTGATGCTCACAAAGGGTCCTTCCTTTGGTTCGCAAGAAATACTTTGGAATGCACTTAAAATGTATTTTTGAGCCGTTTGTTTAAATATGAGTTGGATGAAGAATAAAAGTGAAATTATGTCAAGATTTTTGAAAGAGGGAACCTTTTTGTTTTACATATAAATACGTTATATTACCTCAGGGACTTCTGTACGGACAACTAGAAGGTTCGATGTTGTGACTAAATTGTGTTGATGTTACATGGAGAGCACCATGTGTTGGGGGGGTAGTGAACACGGGGTGATGTGTGTGTGTGATAATGCAGCTTAGCTTGTTAGCTAGCAGCTGCATCCACACAGGTCTAATGAATGTGGCAGAGAATGCTGAAAGTCACCTGAACTCAATATGTATTTTGAACAGAGGACTTACGGACTTGATAAAACGGCCAATACAGCATACAATCATGCACTCTTTACTTCACCAGATTATAACTCATAATGGGGTAAATGGATACTACTTTTGTGGTTTTCACAAAAGTGCATCAAAGTCATAGCAACATATCAAAGACAAAGAAATCCCCCTACATTTTTTAATAACATACAACAGGCCAAACTTGGCATTTGAGGGTGATAACGTCTGGAAATTAATAAATGTTTGACAGTGATTATCAAAACTGAATTTGGGTAAAAGGAAATAATATTAAAATACACTTTATGGCAGTTTGAGGACATATGTCTAATGTTTGGTAGTAACACAAGTCAGAATGTCTGCTGTGAACTAAAGGTATACAGTGGTGGAGGTACAGCAGGGGCTTTAATATGGGACTGTTTCTCTTCAGAACCTTTCAAATATTCTTGTGAAATCATCTTTTTTTTTTTTTTTTAAATCCTTTTTTTTTTATTTTGAAACACAAAGCTTTGTCTGTGTGAATATTTGTTCTGTTTCTACTGATATGAAGGTGAGTGGGTTTATCAATTAAATGTAATGCACAAACTAAAGATCAGATAGACTAACATGTTCATGTTTCTTACTTCAAGCTATCTGATGAGATGCATGGCTGCCAAAGCATAACGCTGTTACTGCAATAGAAATCTCTTACTAAACTGAATGCATTCATTAAACAAATAAAGGCAGTCGGGAGGCATCATTCATTCATTCACCTACTACACACACACACAGACACACACACACACACACACACACACACACACACACACACACACACACACACACACACACACACACACACACACACACACTACACTTTCCTATTGTTTTCTATATTCCCCACACTGCTCAGTATGATGTATATTTGAATATAGAAGAATAAAAATCCTGAAGTTAGTGTAGTTGGATGACCTTAACATATGGCAAATGAGTGATGAAAGAAAAATACAATAAATACAAATCGAAAAATACCAGAACTGTTTTTAGGTAGCAAATAACAGTACAATAAAACATAGTTAAACAATTGTATTTAGGAGATCAATTGCATTAAAAAAAACTGTCAACAGAGGACTTAGGAAACGATAGGATAATCAAATGACAAATAATTGGTCATGTAGAGCTATTTACTTAAAAGGAGATCAGGATCCAGTCAGTGCAGGTTAACTTTAACGTGGCTGTTATGCTCTGTCTTGTTCCTCTTAGTCAAGGTGAGACATTCAGGCAAAAACCTTGTCTTACAAGCTCTGGCCAATTTAGAATTTTGGGCCATGTTGCTTCCCTGTTGGCTTTTTTCCATGACTAGTGTAAAAAAACATCCATGTGACATACCTATGTGTTTATTTAACTAACTTTGTATGCAGTTAACATTACATAAGGCCTCATTTTCATATTTAAACACGACATTTCAGAAAATGTACAAAAACAGTTGAATAGTTAGCTCTTGTTACTACTGGCAACAGAGTTGGATGGAAGACATAAAAGAGCAGGGTGTCGCTTTTTTAGTATTAATGGCGCACACTCATTAATGATTTATAAGATAGTATCGTACTGTATTACTACAGTATTTCACTGCTTGCTTGGATTCTATCTCGAAAGTAATTCCAAAGAAAATGGAAATATGCAAACAGCAGTTACAGTGAAGAATTATGTAAATGTCTCTTCAAACTTCGTTCATGTCATAAACCCATTCATTTAATTTATTTCTGAAAAATAGCCCCCACTGTACACTGTAGTGCAGTCCTAGTGTTTTATTGCATCAAAATAAAAGCCCCGACCTCCCAGCAGCTATTTTGCTGAGTCATGTCTGCCTGATGTCGATGAACAGCTGTGACTACTTCAAAGCTCCTTCCTGATTATAACCTGCCAGTTCTTACATCATCACCCTTTGAGACTTGTGGGGGGGGGAGGTAAATAGCCAAGTGCAAAGATTTATTGTTGGAGCCACAGTGTGCAACTTTCAGAAAAAGCCAATTGTTGGTTCCCGCCCCAATGCTTGTCACTCACCTTGATGAGCTGTCTGCCTTGAAACAGCATCTCGCCCGGGGCTAGGATCACTGACATCCCCCCGAGGTGCAGCGGAGATGCAGCTGCCAAAGTGGGGATGGGGTGGAAAAAAAGCCCTGCTGGTGTTCAGATAGTTTCTGAATTGTTTACTGCGCGCCTCACACTTGTTTGTTTTTCTGCTAGTTGCTGTGACTCACCTTGACAGGCACAACCTCGACGTTGAGCATACCCACAGAAAACTGAATTGAAATGCCCTGAACATCATTGGAAAGTCAGACAAACAAGAGGATTTACATTTGAATACACAGGGTCACTGACAGATAAGTGCTGCATGTGGATCACTTTAGCTCGTCTGCATCAGAAGCAGGTCTCCACTTTGAGGTGTTAAAATCTGAAGCTGAAAGCTCCCTGTTTTAAATTGACAGCATACTGTTGTAAAGTGCCTTCTTCCTTATTCAGTTGAACAGAGATAAAGTTTGATGGAAATAGTTTATGAACCAGGTAATAATAACAGTAATATCTACTAAATGGCAGTCAGTAGAGTGCAGATCTCCCCCAGGTGTGTCTCTCCCCTCCCCTATCAAAGAATGACAGGTGTAATCTCACTATACGTGACTCCCTTACAGTCAAGATTATAGAAAAGAAAGCAAAACCATTATTTATTTATGCTTAACTTTAGTGGATCATCATTTATCGGTTATGGAATTAATCTGACCATGCCCAGTTCAACATGAGCTCCCATAAAAGTCACAATGTGGCATCAACAGACTAGTTGAGGCTCTATGTCTCAATTTAGACGCTGTCCTCCCATCGCCATGTCGTGTGAACACTTGCACGGTGTGTGAATCTCGAGGTAGTGTTGCCTCAAATCCCACACTGCTGCTGTGCCCTGACCAGAATTGACAATCTCAACTGTAGGCTAGCTAGATAGCTAACGTTATCGTTTATATTTATTGACTGCCCAATTCACCCAATAAAATTAATGGTGGCTTCTAATTCGACACTAGTGTAGAAGTACGAGTATCAAATATAGAAATACACAGATGTATAACTTTGATCTGAATTTTGCTTTGTTCACTGGAGCAACTGCAGTCGTGGCTGGTCCGACAACTTCCGCTACGTGGCCAAGATGGTGTTTGTTGATTGTGAGTTTAGCAGATGACACTTGACTTGTTGAACGTCATGAGTCATTTGACATACTTCACATCAAAGAAGTCAGAGAATTGAGACTCAGCTATTTTATACCCAAGCTGATTGCTGGAAATGATCCCATGAGGTCTGTACCGGCCCTTTAAAAAAAAAAATAGGATATTTGAAACCTGTTATAATAGAGGGTAGATATGTTTGCTGTTAGGTCCAATAGAATGTGAGATTGGGTGTAGACAGACACAAGTTTTACAGCTCGTGGCCATAATAATCAGTGTTTAGGATGCTTCACGTCACTTTGCTTTTCTCTCAGCCGACATCATTTCTTTGCAAAATAACATCCTAAGCCAATTATAGCCAAATAGAAAACTATGATGACATATAATGCAAAACTCAACATTGTGTCAATAACATCTCAGTTTCTCGTATCATTTTAATCCTTAGCATATTTTAAATGACCTGCATCACATCTTTTCTGAGGTGGATGGATCTTCTGTTCTGAAAGTACAAAGGAATGTAGTCATATCGCACTCTGCTTGTTTTAAAGCACTGGAGATAAATGATGTTTGATACATCAGCGTCCCTCTGCATCTCATCAGCTAACTTACTAAAACAAAACCTGTGACTCCACTTTAGTTTGGTGGAGTTTGAAAACTTGTGAAGTACTTCGGGACACTGAGTTTGATAATATCATTACATCGATCATTTGTCTTGGTGTTGGCAGCAGATTCAGCGCCAGCGGCCAGCAATGTGATTTGTTATTCCTCTGGTTTTCTGATGATGGAGTTGAAGGGTCTGTGAGGGGCATTTGTCAGGTTATTTTCTTTTTCCATTCATATTTACACTTATATTCATTCTTGACATGACATGAACTTATTGAAGGACATCAACACTTCCCACAGTGACTCTGAGCCTCAGTCAGGTACAAGTAGAGGAGCCAAAAGAGGGTTTTATTTACACGACAATCATGGAATATAAATACATCTGAATAGCTAGAGGGTCAAACTGTAATGAACACCAATGGAACAGGGAAAACAATTGGGTAATAATGACAGGTGCATCATTTCTCTACATAGTTTAATTGTGTCTTCCTCCTGGAGCCTGGAGTAAATCCTGACTGCAGCAGTGCAAGAAGAAGCCTCCGAGCAGCTTCTCACAAATCTGATGGGACCGCGCTTCCTCTGTGAAATCATTCCTCTGTATCCAAAAACCACCAGGCTGTGAAATGGATCAGAATAATTGTAGTTTCCTCATGTTTGAGAACCTTTAAACACGTGTTGCCGATGCCGTTATACATCCCAGGAAAGGTGGACTGATTTTTGTGTTGTTTTTTTCAATTCCAATTTGTAGAAATGAGTCGTGTGCAGGTTATCAGCCTTCATATCAATATCCCGCCTCGTTTCTTGGCCATTTATCTTGTTATGTGTTTGTATTTCTATTATTGTTTTCCGTTTTCAGCTAATGCTGTCCTTTGTTTTGATCCTGTATAATCTATGTTGAGGTGTTTTTTTTTCCTTTTTTGTTTTTGTTGCAAATGAAGAAAAGTGACGAATGACTTTTTTCCTCTGAATCATTATTAATCAACTCCTCCTGAATTATTGATGTGCTTAATAATGAAATAAATTATTTCCAAAACCGTACGATTTGAATTTCTGTGTGATTTTTCAGCTGCAACAACTAAAGAAAGCCCTGACATTCACATTCTCTAAAGGGGACATTTGAATAAGAATTCATGCTGTATTATTAGTGATTATCTGCGCATTGAATTGTCTTCCTGCTCGGTGCAGCCTTGCTGGAGCTCCATCTGTCTGCTCCGGAGGAAGGCTGACATATGAGCCACTTTTCACCACAGTTTCTCCTTGTTAAAGTTTCCTACTGACTCCGTAAAAAAGTGGACACGAAACCATCTGTGAAAGGGCGCCTAGCGTAGCTCCACGCACGCTGTAGTTGTAGGAGGATGATAATTTAGTATCATCCTTCTATCCACCCACTAAACAATTATGTTATGCCTTCAGGAGCTGGACTCCAATGCCGTCGTTAAAGGAGACTCGTCGTTTTATGCTGCGCTCACTTCAGAGTGAGAGTCTCTCATCAAAAACCTTCAAAGTGATGAAGAGCTAAATTCAACAAGTTTTAAACCAGAATGTCCAA